CACCTCGGGGTGAAATGGGTGACAAACAGATAAGAAAGAAAGAAAGAAAGAAAGAAAGAAAGAAAGAAAGAAAGAAAGAAAGAAAGAAAGAAAGAAAGAAAGAGACTGAGGGAGGGAGGGAGGGAGAAAAAGGAAGGAGAAAGAAAAGAAAGAGAAAGAAGAAGGAAAAAAGAGAGACTGAGGGAGGAAGAAAAAGAAGGAAGGAAGGAAGGAAAGAAGGAAGAAAGAGACTGAGGGAGGGAGGAAGAAAAAGAAGGAAGGAGAAAGAAAAGAAAGAGAAAGAAGAAGAGAGAGAGACTGAGGGAGGGAGGAAGAAAAAGAAGGAAGGAAGGAAAAAGAAAGGAAGGAAGAGAAAGAAAGAAAGAAAGAAAGAAAGAAAGAAAGAAAGAAAGAAAGAAAGAAAGAAAGAGACTGAGGGAGGGAGGGAAGGAGGGAGGAAGAAAAAGAAGGAAGGAAAAAGAAAAGAAAGAAAGAGAGAGACAGACTGAGGGAGGGAGGGAGAAAGAAAAAGGAAGGAAGGAAAGAGAAAGAAAGAAAGAAAGAACTGAAAAAGGAGGGAGGGAGGGAGGGAGGAAGGAAGGAAGGAAGGAAGGAAGGAAGGAAGGAAGGAAGGAAGGAAGGAAGGAAGGAAGGAAGGAAGGAAGGAGAGAAACAAACGCCAAAGAAAGAAGCCACCAGAGAGATGGAAATCAATGTCTGCCTCTTGGAGGGGACCTGCACAGCTCCCCACCCGCCTGAGATGTGAGGAGACTCACTTAAAACCTGGTTAAGATTGATGCCACCAGAAACAGCAATCCTGACGACCGGGAGCCTCTTTTGAGACGACTCCCAAAGGACCTAAAAATAGCTCTCCTGAAAAATGCTCCTGTCGAAGCACATCTGGACCCAGGCACCCTCCAGATGTTGCCTGAACACCTGGAAGCTAAGCGACCCTAAGCTTGGCTTCGGGAAGAGTGTTGTGTTTCTGAAGGAATGGGGGGGGGAGGGCAAACAGGTGTGTGTGTGTGTGTGTGTGTAGTCTAGGCAGCCGATTTAAAAAAAAGAAAAACGGCTTGCAAAAGCAGCTGAGTTTACTTTTGCAAACAAAGCAGCTGTTGCGTTGCCGAAAACGAGACATCAGCAGCAGGGAGGTCGAAAAAGACTTAGTGCCGTGAAAAACATCAGAAGCAGAGGCGAAAAAGACAGTGCCGTGAAAAGTCTGTCGCCATAGGTAGTCCTCCACTTACGACCACCGTGGGGGGGAAAGAAGAGTTCCCACTGCTCAAGAAGGCAGTCGTTCAATGAGTCACACTTAATTTTATGACCTTTTTTTTTTTGCCCCGGCTGTTCAGCGAATCGCTATAGTTGTTAAGTGAAACATGTGGTCGTTAAACGAACCTGAGTTTCCTTGTTGGAAGCCGGTTGGGAAGGCAGCAAATGGGGAATCAGGTGACCTCAGGACAGTGCAACCGCCGTAAATACGCGCCAAGCCCGTGATTTTTGCTCACATGACCCTGAGGATGCTGCAGTGGTCTAAGGCAGGGGTCTGCAACGTGGACAACTTTTAAGACTTGTGGACTTCAGCTCCCAGAATTCCTCAGCCAGCTATGCTGAGTTGTGTCATGAAATGGCTTCCAGAAAACCACCAAGCTCAGAGAGCAGCAAGGACCCCACAGTTGTTGTTGTTGTTGTTGCAAGGACCCCCCCCCCCAGTTTTTGCTTGCAGGCAAGTATTATTTCTTGCAGATCTTTCAATGCACCATTGTTGCTATCTTCCCCCGAACATGTTCTTGCGTAAGTTATTTTGTATGCCCTCTTCTCTTAAAAATGTACATTTTTTTACATCCACGTTTTCTGGCAGCCAAGAACTGCTCTGAAAAATCTGGAGAAGGACCAAAAGACAAAGCTGGTGAAATGGAAAACAAGCCAGCTTGCTTAAAAAGACCAAGATTCCCCATCTCTGTCACAAGCCAGCATGTCGTTGCAGAAGTGACTGCATTTCATTGCCGAATAAAAAAATTGGAAGTACCTGATCAGTAGCCATACCCTTGAAAGATTTATATATATATATATATTGCATATTTTAAAAGGAAGGCAAAATTCAGCTGTAGCCACACTCGTTCCTTTTTCTGTTCTACTTAAGATTTTATTTTTGGTTAGCCCCAAAGTATGCTGGCTTTGATTCAGCGACGCTTGTGATTCTGATATTTCTTGATGCTTTTGTCTTCTCGTTGAGGCGGCAAGTCAACAAATTTAGGTCATGAATAAATAAAAGCCGGACCTAAAAGGTGCAGGAAATCCGACATGTCGCTTGACGAGGCCTCGAAACCTGAAGGAGGGTATCTCGTGTGGCACAGAAAGGCTTTAATACTAGGCAGGAGATGAGGATTGTGACAGCTAAATCCCAGGAGTCTTTGGTCTTCCAAAATGTGTCGGCCTCGTGGGAGAAACCAGACAGGAATCACAACTGGATCAACTAATACTATTTTAGTGTAAAGCTACACTGACAGAATCTGCCCGGTCTGCAAATAACAATTCTCCCGCTGTCGATTTTAACAGCCTGAGCCTTGCCCACTGTAGGTAGCCTTTTGACTCACAACCACAACTGACCCCCTAAAATTTCCATTGCTAAGTGAGGCAGGGAGCTGTCAACTCTGCAAATGAGCATGGCTATAGCCATTTTCCCTCTCACTCCCGGTTGCCACAGAGAATGGAGGGAGGGGGGACGCTCAGGTGCTTTGCTAGTCATCATAATCTTTTATCCCATGGGAACCAAGGTCATCGTCTGCTCCTGGGACTGCAGGCTGGGCGTGGTGTAAAAAGCCTGGCAAATAATCCCATTGGGGAACATTGTTGCTTGCGTAGCTTTATGGGTGGGGTTTTTAACTTTGTATCGGGGAATTGTTACATGTGTATCCAGACTTGGTTTCACTCTTGATCGTGCCGATACTTTGCAACTAATAAACATGTTATTTGAGGAATTTGCAAGCCTCGGAGTTCTGCTTTGTTTGACTCTGTCTGTTGGAACCATTTTATGACCTTTCTTGCGACAGCTGTTAAATGAATCACTGCAGTTGTTAAGCTAGTAACATGGTTGTTAAGTGAATCTGGCTTCCCCGTTGACTTTGCTGAAGGTCGTAAAAAGGGATTAAATATGAGTTTTTTGTTGATCGGGACTGAACAACGAGGTTTTAAACACATGTTTATAGATAAGAAATGAGATATGGGGGAAAGACGATGCTATTGTACTTTAAGAGAAAGCGACAAATTACTAAAATTGTTTATACTTGTTGAGATGAAAGGGGAAGTCATTTCTTTATAAATGTCTTTTCTTTTCTTTCTTCTTGTACTGTACGCCAACATTTGTTTTTTAATTCTGCCAAACATCTGGCTGATTGACCAATTTCATTTTTTTAATGGCCCTCGCTGAATCGATTATGTAAATGAACTGCTATCACAAGCATCTTTTTTAGTTTCCTGGGACAGCCCGGAGAAATTTTCACTGGGAAATTTTCTCTCACCCCGAGCAGCAGAACCGAATTGTGCTAACAAGAGGCCTCCGAAGGCCGCATCCCAGGAAAATAACTGGAGAGTAAACAGTGACACGGTTCACGTGAAATGCTAAAATGCAGATTGCGCTAAGAAGCCACCGCTGTCTGAATTTGGGAAACGATACATAAATTCTTAAATGGGGTCTAGGAACTACAGGGAAGAGAAGAACAGAGCTGGAAGGGACCTTGGAGGTCTTCTAGTCCAGCCCCCTATACCAGGGGTAGGCAACCTGGGCTCTTTTATGACTCGTGGACTTCAACTCCCAGAATTCCTGAGCCAGCATGGCTCAGCTTGGAAACTTCTCCCTTTCCCCTCAGCATGGCTGGCTGAGGAATTCTGGGAGTTGAAGTCCATGAGTCATGAAGGAGCCAAAGTTTCCCTCATGCTAGCTCAGGAATTCTGGGAGTTGAAGTCCATGAGTCATAAAAGAGCCCAGGTTGCCTACCCCTGCCCTATCCCATTTCAAACAAATGGCTATCCAATCTCCTCTTCAAATTCTCCAGCAATGGGGGTATTTTTTACCTTCCCACAAACACACATTCACATATCTTGCAAGAAGAACACATTCACAGAAACTGCACAGTCTCAGCCAGCGTGAGAATTCTGGGAGTTGAAGTCCGCAAGTCATAAAAGAGCCAAGTTGGAAGACCCCTGCCCTAGGACGATGACGTGGGTCAAAGTTAATATGAGTTCTTAAGTAGCAGACACAGAAAAAAAAAAAACACGGGATGGAGAGAAAGACTCATTTAGCAGCAAGAGGGGTGCTATCTAAATTGGGGGGGGAATTAAATCAATAAAATAAAACGAAACAAAGGAAGGGAATAGAGTGACAGTGAAAGTGAAATAAAGCAGAAGCGGAGGTGAAGGTAAAAGGGGAAAGTGAAAGTGAAACTGAGGCCAGAGGTGAAGGAGAAGCTGAAGGTGGGAGGGAAGCGAAGCGAAAGTGAAAGTGAAGGCAGAAGTGGAGGGAGACCAAAAGTGAAAGCGAAGGTGAGCGTGGAGATGAAAGTAAAAGGGGAAAAGCAAAAGTGAAACCGAGGGCAGAGGTGGAGGTGAAGAAGCTGAAGGTTGGAGTGAAAGTGAAAGCGAAAGCGAAGGCGGAAGTAGAGTGAGACTGAAAATGAAAGCAAAGGTGAAGATGGATGTGAAGTAAAGTAAAATAAAGATGGAACAGTCCACTGGAAGTTGTTGGATTCCTGGCCAGCAATCAAAGACGATGGGTTTCGGAGTCCCACAAATTCTGGATGGCCATAAGGATCACGTCAGCTGGCGGGGAACATCTGTTTTGTCAGGGCTGGGCAAGATGTGAACAAGGTCCAATCCAGCTGGGCCGCCTTTCCACCCCAGACATCTGCTGGGCCCAGCCACCCGCCGTGTGCCCGGATCCTATTTTTCTCCCCTTCCCTTCCCAATCAGCTGAGATATTAATTGCAAAGCCGTAGGGGGGGGGAAAGGTATCAATTACTTACCACCACCGCCGCCCAGCAGGGAACTGTTAGCTAAAAGGAAAACAGAAAGAAAAAAGGAGATGTTACTCAATTGCTGCCTGGTTAGGAGCTATTTCGGTTTATTCACGTGCTCACGGTTGTCGCACAATTTTGCAATCTTCAATATCTATAAATAATAATAATAATATTAATAATAATAATAATAAAGTTGGAAGGGATCTTGGAGGTCATCTAGTCCAACCCGCTGCTCAGGCAGGAAACCCCATACCATTTCAGACAAATGGCTGTCCAGTCTCTTCTCAAAAACTTCCAGTGTTGGAGCATTCACCGCTTCTGGAGGCAGGTTCTTCCACTGGTTAATTGTGCTCACTGTCAGGAAGTTTCTCCTTAGTTCCAGGTTGCTTCTCATTCTTGGTCATTAAACGAACTGTCATAAGTCAAGGACTGCCTGTACAGGAAACTGGCTAATCTTAACTTTAGGGGAGGGGGAAGAAAAGTGGAGAATATAAAATTGCAGAAGGATTTTGCGGCCTCTTGAAAAAAAAAAAAAACCAACCTCTCCTGATTATCACTCTCATTTTTGCAAAATGCTCTTAGCTCCTCAAGACCCTTTTTGCTGTTTTGCTGCAAAAGATTAGTCTGACTACATTTTTAGAAACAGCAAGCAAAGCAGGCCGGGTCGATATTGTCCAATTAACACCAAGGGACTTAATTCTGAGTAGAAATCTACATGCCCGGCTGCACTGTTTATTCTGTGGTTTCATTTATGGGGATTTGCCCCCCTCTTTGTTCTCTGCATTCGACTTGCTATCTGTTTTTTTTTTTCCTTTGTCACAGTCACCCGCTTGAATGAAAGGCTAGCGATTAAATAAACTCTATTTCTTTGAAAGCTGAATCTGGCAGGATCCCAGATTAACTGAAACAACACAGGTAAATCCTTGACGAACGATAATTATCTTTAATGACCGTTCAAAGTTACAAGGGCACTGGAAAAAAGGGACTTGTGACCGTTTTTCACACTTAACGACGGTTGTGGCATTCCCAAGGTCAGCTGATCAAAACTCAGACGCTGGCTGGGGAATTCTGGGAGATGAAGTCCACAAGTCTTAAAGCTGCCCAATTTGGAGACTGCATATCCTGGTACTTGGAAGACTGGATCCAGTTTTGGTCACCACGATGTAAAAAAGATGCTGAGACTCTAGAAAGAGTACGGAGAAGAGCAACAAAGGTGATCAGGGGATTGGAGGCTAAAACATACAAGGAACGGTTGCTGGAATTGGAAATGTCTACTTTAAGGAAGAGAAGGACGAGGGGGGACAGGATAGCCATCTTCCAATATCTCAGGGGCTGCCCCAAAGAAGAGGGAGTCAAGCTATTCTCCAAAGCGCTTGAAGGCAGGAGAAGCAGCAACGGATGGGAACCAATCAAGGAGAGAAGCAACCCGGAACTAAGGAGAAACTTCCTGACAGTGAGAACAATTAACCAGTGGAACAACCTGCCTCCAGAAGTGGTGAATGCTCCAAGACTGGAAATTTTTAAGAAGAGACTGGACAGCCATTGGTCTGAAATGGTAGGGGGTTGGACTAGATGACCTCCAAGGTCCCTTCAAACTTTATTATTATTATTATTATTGTTGTTGTTGTTGTTATTATTACTACTACTACTACTACTACTACTACTACTACTACCACCACCAGGTGTATGTCTCAACATTGTGAGAACGGGGCCATTCTCAGTGCAGCGTTCAAGAGCAGCACCCATTTTCCACTCAGCCTTCCTTCCTTCCCCCCTCCCCAGCTGGCAATCACAGCCTCCCCACGCCCATCAGCGCCCGGGGCGTTCCACCTGTTTCAGGAGGTTGCCTTGGCAACAGGAGCAACCGTGTAAGGATGCGGTCACCTCGGAAACACCCGCCGCGGGGGGGGGGGAAGGTCCCAGGCGCCCTGGGAAATCGGCCAGCTGCTCCCAGAGGCTGAACTGAGAGGAGAAGGGACAGGACTGGGCGGGAGAGTAACTAGCCAACCCAGCTGAGACTGGGGGAGGACGGGGAGGGACTCCGCCTCAGCCAGGCTAGGGAGTGAGTGCAGACAGGGTGGACGGGCATGAACGTGGCAGGGGGGCAGGGTCGGATAGCTGGGATAGAGAGGAGAGAGAGAGAGAGAGAGAGAGAGAGAGAGAGATGCAAAGATAGAGAGATAGAGAGATAGAGAGGGATGATAGAAGATAGATAGATAGATAGATAGATAGATAGATAGATAGATAGATAGATAGATAGATAGATAGATAGATAGATATGATATGACATAGGATAGGTGATAGATAGATAGATAGATAGATAGATAGATAGATAGATAGATAGATAGATAGACAGATAGATATGAGATGATATAGGATAGGTGATAGATAGATAGATAGATAGATAGATAGATAGATAGATAGATAGATAGATAGATAGATAGATAGATATGATATGATATAGGATAGGTGATAGATAGATAGATAGATAGATAGATAGATAGATAGATATGATATGATATAGGATAGGTGATAGATAGATAGATAGATAGATAGATAGATAGATAGATAGATAGATAGATAGATAGATAGGATAGGTGATAGATAGATAGATAGATAGATAGATAGATAGATAGATAGATAGATAGATAGATAGATAGATAGATAGATAGATATAGATAGATAGATATGATAGATAGATAGATAGATAGATAGATAGATAGATAGATAGATAGATAGATAGATAGATAGATAGATAGATAGATAGATAGATAGATAGATAGATAGATAGATAGATAGATAGATAGATAGATAGATAGATAGATAGATAGATAGATAGATAGATAGGATGATAGATAGATAGATAGATAGATAGATAGATAGATAGATAGATAGATAGATAGATAGATAGATAGATGAGATGATATAGGATAGGTGATAGATAGATAGATAGATAGATAGATAGATAGATAGAAGATAGATAGATATAGATAGATAGATAGATAGAAGATAGATAGATAGATAGAAGATAGATAGATAGATAGATAGATAGATAGATAGATAGAAGATAGATAGATAGAAGATAGATAGATAGATAGATAGAAGATAGAAGATAGATAGATAGATAGATAGATAGATAGATAGATAGATAGATAGATAGATAGATATGATATGATATAGGATAGGTGATAGATAGATAGATAGATAGATAGATAGATAGATAGATAGATAGAAGATAGATAGATAGATAGATAGATAGATAGATAGATAGATAGATAGATAGATAGAGGGATGGTTGGAAGGATGGAGGGGTGAAGGGATACAAGGATGGATTGGTGAATGGATTAAGATATAGATAAACAGATGGATAGATAGATAGATGGATGGATGGATGGATGGAGACATAAATAGACATATAGATGGATGGAGGATCCCTTGTTGAAAAGGTGCTGGGGAGTGGGTTGCTGGCTTTGCCTCCCTCACCCCCACCCCCACCTTCAAAATCCTACAGCATTCTCTTGGCTGCTCCTGCGCATGAGTTGGCTTTCCCCAACTGAGTGCGGTCTGGGTGTCAACCAGGCCGACTGCCGCAATCCTCGGCGGGCAGTTGGAACGCTGGTGTTCCCGTGGGAAGCTAAGCTGGGGAAAATGTGGACCCATTTTAAAGTCCGCTTGGATTTATAGGGCACTTTTAAGCTTTCCAAAAACATATCGGCCTAATCGCAGCATCAAAGAAACGGCTCCCGTTTGGCTTTTGGACCAAAAACAGACTAGCTCCAGCCGTGTAAAGAAAAGCGCGAGAAGTAACCTAGAACTAAGGAGAAACTTCCTGGCAGTCAGAACAATTAACCAGAGGAACAGCCTGCCTCCAGAAGTTGTGAATGCTCCAACACTGGAAGTTTTAAGAAGAGACTGGACAGCCATTTGTCCAAAATGGTATAGGGTTTCCTGCCTGAGCAGGGGGTTGGACTAGATGATCTCCAAGGTCCCTTCCAACTTTACTATTATTATTGTTGTTGTTGTTATTGTTATTCCTCGGCTAATGACCACAATTGAGGCCAAAATTTCTGTGGCTAAGCGAGACCGTTGTTAAGTGAGTTTTGCTCCATTTAATGACCTTTCTTGCCACCGTTGCGAAGTGAATCACGGTAACAACGGTTGTGAAGTGACTCTGCCTCCCCTACTGACTTCACTTGTCAGAAGGTCACAAAAGGGGATCATGTGACCCCGGGACGCTGCAACGGTCATAAGTACGAGTCAGTTGCCAAGCGTCTGAATTTGGATCAGGGGACCCCAGGGGGAGTCTGCGACGGTCGTTAAGTGTGAAACGCGGTCCCCAGTGGCTATTTTCAGGGCCGTTGTAATTTCGAAGGGCCACTCAATGTAGAGGGTAAGTTGAGGACGATGGGCCACTGCCAGACTTGCAACTCTCCTCAGTGGGAACGTCAATCAGGAATTTGAAATGGCTGAAAGCGGCCAGACGCTGCAGCATTAGCCATACTGTTTTATTTTTAAAATGTGTAGATACTGCATTTCCCCGTATGAGCCTCCAGCAGCTTGCAATCCGGGGTGTGTGTGTGTGTGTGTGTGTGTGTGTGTGTGGTGGGCGGAGGGGGAGGGAGGGAGGCATAAAATAAAACTACAATCATAAAATCAATATGTGAATTGCCTATCGATTTCACGCCAGGCCATAAAAGTTCCATTCGCCGGAGGAAATCTCTGCCGCTAGGCGACTTGAGAAAAGGGCGGCCTGGACAGGTGGGCTTCGGGCAGAAGTGGGCAAGAGACATCTGCTTGGGGCTTTTATTTCTCGGGGAAATAAAAGCATTCTCTTATTTCTTTTTCTCTCTGAGCGGAGTAAATAGAATTCAGGGTCTGTGTGTGCGGGTTGAAAGACAAGAGTTTAAGAACGAAGCTCTTTAAAAAAATCTGGTTTTGGATCATCTGCACGCCTTTCTTTCTTTGTCTATTCGTTTGTTTATTTGCATCCGGCTGTTGTTATTTTTACAAATAAGGCAGCGAACGTACCTCTTCCT